TTTATTCATGAGAGACAGAGGGAGAGAGAGAGAGAGAGAGAGAAGCAGAGGGAGAAGCAGGCTCCCAAGGAGCAGGGAACCCGATGCGGGACTCGATCCCAGGACCCTGGGATCATGACCTGAGCCGAAGGCAGACGCTTAACCATCTGAGCCACCCAGGCGCCCAGGATTTGAGTAATTTTAGAGTAATTTTCATTCTTTGGCTTTAGATTTTTTTTCCAATAAAAAGAATTCCAGTTAGTGCTTACTTAAGTGTGATAGAGCTATTCATGTAAAGTGGTTATCAGCTGTTAGGTTTTAAATGCAATTTGATGTGATGCCAGTTCCTTGGGAATGTTTTTAGTGACAAAAAAAAATGTGTGGGAGTTATATGTTTCTATGAATGGATGTAGAAATGAAAATATATATGATTGTGAATGGAGATAGGGTTATAGTTCTAAAAGTAGAAGTAGTTTAGAGTGTGCTGCTTTATTCTAAGATAATTTTATTAGGAAAAAGGTTAATTATAAAGGAATATTAAGTACTATACATGAGATATATCTTTAACACTTTCATGCTTCTGAGAATGTAAAAGTTACATGTAACTATGATATGTATAAAAGAATGTAAAAATCAAATGTTAAATTATGGCAAGAGATAGGTGAATGTTTAAAAAAAAAAAACTCGCATAGTAGCGAGTGTAATAAAACAGTTAAATGTTACATATTGATGTCCTAGTTAGAGTTCGTTTGTATAAACCCTGAAGGTGGGAGAATCTTACTATAGAACATTATACTTCGTATAACCAGATAGATTACCTAGTTTTTGCCTTAAGTTTCAAATTTGAAATAAGCTATTATCTCCTCAGTGCTGTCTGTTGACTTTTATATACTTTTATAATGTAAATGTTTTGTGTAAAATAGACATGTAAAATAATACTGTATTATTTTTTAAAAAATCAAGAAGGAAGCATAGGTTTCAGGAACATTAGACAAGATCAGAAAATAAAAGCCTAAAAGATCTGACCATACCCTTTCTCTGTAAAGTAGCTTTTGTGGCTCTTGGCTGTTTGCAGATATACATTAATATCTAGAATATTATGCAAAAGATAATTTTGCTTTGTTATACTGTGGAAAAGGAGTTGAGAAGGGAGGTTATTTTAGCAGACATTTGGGACATAAAATTCACTGGACTCGGGGATTGGTTAGCTGTGGGTAGTAAGAGGGAGGGGTTATAAGGATAAAACTTGGGGTTCTGGGTGGGAGTATGGGGCACTAAATGAGATACAGAGATAGGCATCATCCCATCTTTACCAGGGAGGGAAGGCTATGGGCTAGCCCACTCCGGTGACCCCTTGTTTAAATACTTTAATGAGTTCTTTATAAAGTCCAAGGGGATCTCTGCATGGAGAAAAATACTCATCACCGCTCATAATTTAATTAATGGTGTATTAAGCCTATACTCATCTAATAAAGTAACTTCTAAAATGAAAAATTTTAATCATTTAGGATTGATTATAAACTTATTTTGTTAAATTCTCTAATAGTTTAAATTAGAATTATAAATGACTATGTAATACTTTACTTTGTAATGATTGCAAAACTTAGTGCACTTAAATCTATTTTAAAATATTAACCCATGGGTTTAATTAATTAATTTACTCTTTCTGTACTTGTTTTTTTAATTTCCTCCTGGGGTTATAATAATCTTCCCAGATTCTTATTTCTGTACTTTCCCAGGATTATAGTAATCTTTCTATGCCTTCCTAGGGTTACAGTAATCTTACCACTACCAAAACAAACCAAATTTCAGGTAAGTCAAGATTTAGTGTTTTTTGATAAGTTTGATTCTCAGCCAAAACGCAAGATTTGGTTATGCCTTTAAAGATGATTTAAAAGCTGTGTTGTTGTGCACTGGGTCCCTTCTATCATTAAACTTTACCTACTGAGTTAATGGGATTTTTTAAGCTCACGCTTGTCTCATAGATTTTTAGTTTCTTGCAGCCTGGAGTTAGTCCCTAAATGAAATACTTCCGTGTTCTGTTTTCGTTATGAATTGCCCTTTTCTGGTAGCTTTACTGCCACAATTTAATGCATTTCATCTCCCAAGAGGTCAGGGATCATTAGGTCTTAGAGTTAGCTCTCTTTAGGAATTTCACTAACTCATCCAGTTAGAACTCATCTGCTTGGTCCTTGTGTGACAGGGGTGCTCATCACCACTGGGGCTCCTGTATGGGGGGGTGGGGTGGGTGGGTGTGTGTGTGTGTGTGTGTGTGTGTGTGTACCTGTGCTGAGTGTGTGTGTTTGTGTGTGTGTGTGTGTGAGAGAGAGAGAGAGAGAGAGAGAGAGAGAACCTGTGCTGAATCCACCTCTCTTGTTCTTGGTCCCGAACATGCTTTTCTGGAACTATTTGGCTTAGCCCCAGTTCCCTGTATTTACCCCTTCCTCGGTGTACCTAAACAAAAAAGTATACAGCTATATTTTATAAACAGACATAGACTTAATAGGAGAGACAAACTCCTAAGCGTTAACATTAACCTAATTATTAACTGTGATTATTACAACTGACCTAATTACTAATTATAATAATTATTTTCACCCTTCTTTACAACTATATTTTTATGTATTTTAACTTTCCCTTTTGTATCTTATTATGGAGTCATGGCTTATCATAGATTTAATTTGTTCCATTTAGCTATAATTATTATTCTCTTTTTAATGTTCCAATTGTGACAGCCTGGCTAACCTCAAATGTGCTTCTTTATTCTTTTTTTTTAAGTATTTTATTTATTTATTTGATAGAGAGAGAGCATAAATGGGGGGAGGGGCAGAGGGAGAGGGAGAAGCAGACTCCCTGCTAAGCAGGGAGCCCAACATGGGGCTTGATCCCAGGACCCCGATATCATGACCTGAGTCAAAGGCAGATGCCTAACCAACTGAGCCACCCAGGCGTCCCACCACTATTAGATTTTTATATCTACAGTATCTCTAAATTCCTACAAAGATGGAACTACATAATTATCTCCTAAGAATGCATTAGCCTCTTCTGAGAAGTGGAAAAAAGTCTTGTCCTATAGTTAGAAATACACCTAGTGACACCACTTGCTTTTTATATATGCATCTTCATATATACAAATGGGAGAGTGCTACTTTCCCTTGGAAAGCATTCTTCACTTTACAGAGAACTCACTTTGGGCTTTGTTTTCTAGCCTTTTATCTTTCCATTTGTTTTCTTCTAAATTAGGGATCAAACTCAAATGCCCACAGGCATATAAACAAGTCTGATAAGGACTGTAATAAGCTAGGGAGTGCCCAGTGTCTTTTTAATGTGATGAAATAGCGATGCTTATTTCTTCGTTTTAGTTAATTTTTACCATGAGGATATCCAGATCCCTTGTTGCCAGTGCTTGAGATGTTTCAAGAGAAGCAAGAAATCTGAGGATTTTGTTTACATTCTCGCAATGTTTACATGTTGGCATTTAATTCAGATTTTAATTAATTTCAGAGCGAGCACGGTGTGGGGGGGCAGAGGGAGAGAATCTCAAGCAGACTCCCCACTGAGTGTGATGTTGAAAATGTGAGGCTCGATCTCATGACCTTGAGATCATGACCTGAGCTGAAATCAAGAGGATGCTTAACCAACTGAGCTATCCAGGTGCCCCTAATTCAGATTATAAAACCTAGTTGGTTGCTGCTTCTGGGCCAGGACTTTGCATCCTCTGCTCTAGATCTTATAAAACTTGAAGATCAAAATCAGGCCCAGTATTAAGTAGTTGATGAAGGACACACATTTTTGTACCCCATCTGTTATGCTCCATTTCTTTCTCAGAATTGCTGTGTAGTCCGTTGCAGTTCTTTGACTTGTTTCTTGAAAGACTGTGTCACTTCTGAATGAAAGCAGTTGACAACGAAAAATAAATATTGTTTGGATCTGAGCATGTCTGTTGCTGTTTTCCTCCTGAAAACCTTGGTGATTACAGTTCTTTAAAACTAAGTCTTCAAAATCCTCAGTCAGTATTCTACTTTGCATCCATCCATGGGCTGTGCTGGTAAAGTCGCTGGGAAGCGGTAGGAAAACGATGTAACCGTCTAGGGGAACTATTCACTAGTGCGTTCGTTATCTTGTTAGAGAACAGAATTTGCTTGCTGGGTTTTTAGATGGCCTGGGTTTCTAAAAATAGCTCTAAAATGTTTTTATCTCTCTCTCTCTCTCCTCCCCCCACCCCCTTTTTTAGGTTTTCAAAACAAAAACAGGGTTGCAATCTTGGCAGAACTGGACAAAGAGAAAAGAAAATTACTAATGCAGAACCAGTCTTCGACTAATCATCCTGGAGCGAGGTATTGAAGAATAATATGGTTTTCATATTCAGGATATAAAAAAGATCTTGGACAAAATACCTCAAGTTGGTTGGCAGACGTTTGTCTCTGTAACGTTGCAATTTACATGTTTTGTTTCTTTGTTAGATTTGAAAAAAATTAGATGAAGTGATCTTAAATATTCCAATTCTAATTAGAATATTTAATGGTCCCCAGAGCCTACTTTTAAAAAAAGAAAAGGGTTTTGTGTGGTTTTTGTTTGTTGCTGAAATTATTGTCAGCATCCCCCTTTTTAAGCATTCTGCAAAGCAGATAAAATGTAGGTGGCTTTGTCTTTATTGTGTTCAGTTTCTGCCTTCTTCCATCGCATTTAGCCACTGCCCTGGCCTTGCCCCCTCTTTCAGCCAGACCTCCTGAAAATGCTGTCTGTCCTCACCTTTACTTTCTCACTCACTGACTCCTCAGCACATTCCAATCTGACTCGAGAGCCACTCTCCCCTTCCTAAGAATAGGTGCTCACCTTGGTCACCTGCAGCCTCATGGTTGTAGCTAAATCTGGTGGGCCAAGGGCCTTCCCTTATTAGATGGCTTAGTGTTGTTTGACACCACTGATCACTCTGTCCTTCTTGAAATACTCTCTTTCCTCGGCTTCCACATGGTCTTGGTTTCTTTTGCAGACGCGTCTCCGCTGCCTATGTCGTGAATGTCCGTGCCCTTCAGAGTCCGTTCCTACAGCCAGTTTCCTGTCCTCACACAGCTTTTCACTGGGCAGTTGCCTCCACTTCCACGACCTGTTATTTATGTGCCAATAACTTTTATCTCGTCTTTTCTCCCAAGTCCCAAATTGCCTCTTGGGTAGCTCCACCCCGATGTCCCTTAGGCATTTCAAACTTAGTGTGTCCCAAGCTGAACTGCTCTTCCCTTCCCATGCTCTTACTCACCACTTACTATTCTTGGGTTCCTTGTCATGGTGAATGGCACCGATCTACTAGTCCTCAAAGTCAGAAGTGTGGACTTCGTCTGTTATTCCTTTTCATGTCCGTCTCCGATCTGCCTATTTTTCTTCATGGCTACTGATGCCACCCTCATCCTGGCCACTCCCATTTCGATAGCTGCTTCCTCACTGAATTTCCTGTAGTCTTCAGTCCTGAATATATTTATCAGTTGTGTCAGTTAGGATGTTTTAATCTGGAAGTAACAGAAAACCAAGAAAATTGGCATACACGTTAGGATGTATGTTTCCCAGGAGTGTGAAGAGCCAGTGGTTCCAGAGTGGCTTCATGCAGTGGCCAACGGTGTGAGCCGTGCTCCGGCCTCCCTCCAGCCTTCCTTTCTGCCTTTCTCTGTGGGCCAGCAGCTCCCTAATGGTCCAGATAGGACTGCCATAGTCTCAGCCTCACCCCACACTGAGCCAGCTATAGAGGCCAAAGCCAGAAAGGTTCCTGTCCTACGTTTCTCTTTTAAGAGTGCAGAGAATGTTCTCAGAAGCCTCCCAGCAGACTGCCTGTCAAGCCTAGCTGCCCAGAATTGTGTATCTTTCTCTTGCTTAAACTAGAAACCAACAAGGGGAATGGGAATGGCATTGTCTTACACCGATCAGAGTTCATCCCCTGAGGGATGAGCCTGGCCAGCCCTGAAGCATGGTACCACCAATACTTGAATGAAGTTTGGATTCCATTAGCAAGGAAATAGGGAGATAAACAGTTGTTGAGGAGGTGACCAGCACAGTCTGCCTAGCGTGGTCTTTCTGAGCCATCATGTGGTACTTGTGATCATGTCACTCCTCTGCTTTATTAAACTCTCTGGGAGTCTCTCTTTACTGTGAGGATAAGATCTACATTTCTTAATTTATTTCACAGGGCACCTGCCTTTCTTGCCCCCCTGTCATTTTCTGCCAACCCACTTCACCCCTTTCCAACCCTGACCTCCAGTCCTATCAAGCTCTTAATTTCTTCAGACATGCCAAGGTCTTTATCCCTGGGCTTTTCGCACGCTGTACCTTCTGCTTGAAACATTCAGTGCTTCTGTTTTCATCATAAATGTAACCTTATGATAGACTGGAGTACCTCAAATCAGTTTGAAAGTACGGGACCATAGATCATCCAAAAAATAATCAAAAATAGAGGTAATTTGAAGCCCCAGTAAAATAACATAGGCTTTCTTCATATAAATTAATATAAACCGTGGGAGAAGGAAAAAAAGACTTATTCTGGGAGGCCTTTTTTTTTTAATCCCTATAAAGAAAATATAATGAAAAATGTGATTCAGAAGTAAGGAAGTTCCTTCTACCTTAAACAGCCAAATAACTAAGATTCCCATTTTAGCATTGCACTCTCGAGACCCTCTCTTAATAAGGACTTCCGGGATCATGCTGAGCAGCAGCATATTGCAGCCCAACAAAAGGCGGCTTTGCAGGTGAGCAAAGTGGAACTGACACTTGGGTCTCTGGAGAGTTCCCGGGTCTTGGAGGCCAGCACAGTTCCTAGTTCGTATTTCAGTGGAGCAGTATCAATAAAAACGTTCCACACATAACTGCAGTGGTTTTCTGATGTTGAGTCATGCCCAGAGGATTTGAAGGACCCATACAGCAGTAATGAAAGTATCCTTTATGGTTTGACACGGTCATCATTGAGTCAGGGCTGTCCTTGGCAAGGGATTGCTTGCGTACAAGGATATGTGGATGGACAGAATGATCTTAAAAGCTGAACCGGCTAGTTTAATAGTACATACATACATTTTTTCAAATTTGTCATGGTGTTACACTCCTTAATAATCTTACTGGTGTACTGGATTCTCTTTTTAATGGTCAGCATACCTGTTGTGCAGGAAATGATAATCCATCAGTTTAAAAAATACTGTTCTTCATAGTAATAAACAGTTTTAGTATCACAGTGATCTTGGATTGTTTAACTGACATTCCCAGAGACCTGGAACAAGCCATCATTACCTATGCTGTTAAACCTTTGAATCTCAGAATTGGAAGAGGCATAAAAGATCATCTCACATAAGGCAACCTAAAAACAGTCTTCCTTTCTCTAGTGACAGAGGGAGGTCGCTGGTGGTTTTCTGTTACTTATATTTCAACATTCTGTACAAAATGTTGGGATCTTAATCACCAGTAATCAGCTCCCTTGCCCACCCACTCCCTTCCCAACTACTGCCCTTCTTTCTCAAGCTCCTGCTTTGTTGATCAAAGGCAGATTTTGGGGATCTTTGTTGCAAGTTTCCGCACTCCAAGGAACAAAGTAATTCATGTCTTTGACTCATTATTCACTTTAGAGAATCACAGAGGACAGAGTGGGTCTGATAAATGAGTGCCTGGTGCAGTTTGTTAATATAAATTCTTTTTTATTCTCCATCTCCTGTGTATTTAAACAAAATTAGCAGCAGCAGAACTGATTTTTAAAATAAATTTGGTCTTAAACACTCAGATAGGATAAGTAATTTTAATGCCTTGGTTGAAAAATTGTGATGTCTAATAGCTTCATTGCCTTTGCTTTTTTTACCCTTCCCTAGCACGCACACGCACACTCATCTGGATACTTCATTACCCAAGACTCTGCTTTTGGGAATCTGATTCTTCCTGTCTTACCTCGCCTCGACCCAGAATGAAGAAAAAATTTGTGACAAAAATGACTGGAATATCAGATGCCAAAGCTACTATCATTTAGTGCTTTACAAACTATGACTTTCAGAATTTTGGTGAACTTTTATACTTTTATTGCTTCTTTAAAAGAAAGGCATGTGTACGTCAGAGCAGAAAGAAGGGTCTCCAGGAGGATGAGAGCTCTGGGGGCTGTGGTATCTGAGGAACTGGTGCTGCTGCCTGTGACTGTTTTGGAACACAGTTGATTTTCTGAACCCAAATCAGAATTGAAGGGTCACATAAATTCACCCGTACCCCCACCCCCGCAACTAGGTGGATTGAGTATATCATTGTCCACAGTAGACTTTCATGAACCATTTATAGTACTTAACTTTAAAGAAATGAGGGTGCTTTTAAAAACGTGAACCAATAGGCTTAAATAAGTTACATTCATATTTGCTGTTTGTAGAACTGCTATCAGTGTACCTTTTGTGTTTATAGTCAACTTGTCATCCTAAAATACTCTTTAACTCATAACCAACTCCCTTATTCTAAGGGATTCTAAGAATCTAAGACTAAGTTACCAGTCTTAAACATCTTTTATAAACCTATGCTACTATAAATTATGTGATTAAATGCGATTAAAAACAATGATAAGAAATGTGATTTTAAAATTTGTACATGCTCTTATTATTTAGTGTTACTACACGTATGGTGTGCCCATGTTTTATTTATCTAATTAAAAACAGATGCAAGTGGGGCCCCTTTTTAGTTACTCTGAGGAGTCAGGTTAAGCAAGTTCCTCAGTATGACACATCTTGAACAGAATTTGGGGTGCTTATTTAAGCATGCAGTCCCTCCCACCTTACCCCAGTCCTAGAGAATTAGAATTTCTAATTCAAAACAAAGTCTGAAAAACCTGGGTAAGGAATTCAGTTTTCTTTATATCTATATATCTATATCATATATAAACTCATAGATTTCTTTTGTCCCTGAAACTTAGCTAAAATCTACGTGGGTTTTTTTTTTTTTTAACCTTTAATAGGATTGAAATTATATTTTATACTGTATCACAGATACAGTACTTTATAGAACTACTTGTAATTGACCTCATATTAGCCTTGAGTCCCCCTCATCTCTGGTGGTAGGATGAAATTTAAACTTAAAATTCCAGTTTGGGTCAATATTTAATTGAAGTTCATCTCCTTTTTCAAAGAGTTTCTTTCCTTCCTTCCCTAGATATTTGCACCAGCTGCACAGCCCTAGGTTAACCCAAACTAATTAAAGCAGGAATGGAGAATTCTAGACTTGGCTGTGCCATTTAGATTCTTTCTCTTGAGAATTTGAACTGATTTTCTGCACTTGGGTGAGGTGACAGCCATGCCCATCGTAATGGTCGCTATTACAGCTGTTAACACTCCCTGCTGCTGAGGAGGTCCCCAGGGGCCTCTGGCTCCTGTCCTGCCCCAGGTCCATCCAACACTTCCTTGGGTCTTCTACAGTGGCCCTCATTTTCTTGAATTATTTTGACAGTGTCAGTTCTGTGCAACACATGACCGACTGACATGGTTCTAAATCTGTCTACTGATGCTAAGGAGATAAACAATTTGGATTGTATACTTTTTATACTATTGAAGCCTCTACCTAATGTGTGACTTTGATAACCTAGGTAAAGAGATCTTTTTTCAGTGGTATCTTTTCTAATCTCTTAGCCTTTTAAATAGATGTTGTTAAATCCTGCAGTCCTGGCTAGGAAGCACTTCCTCGCACCCCTCTCCTGTGAGTCCCTTACAAATTCAGGTCAATTCCATATGTGTTTGTGAATACGCACTCTGGAAAGCACCGGAGTATGGAGGAGGGTGGGGGAAGGTGAGAAAGATGAGACCTGCTCTGAAGGAGGTCACAAGGAGAGGAGCCTGTTGTGGGACAGCAGAAATGATAAAGGAAGGCAGAGTGCAGCACGCCACAGAAGAGGTCCACAGAGCACATCGCAGTCTAGATAGGCCTGGGAGGATTGGTAGGATTTCACCTGGAAGGGCAGAAGAGCTGCTCCAGGCACAGGTCAAGGTCTCACAATCAAAGAGAAGGAGGGACTAAGGCCGTTGGGAGGACTGCAGAGGACCAAGGGAAAAGCAGTGCACTAGTCAGAAGCCCTGAGGTGAAGCTGGGATGGGGGGTGGGGAAATGGGGGTAACTCATTTCCCCTCTCTCTGCATGTCACTCTGTCTCGCCTGTAAAGTAGGAACAGCACACAGCCTACTTTATAAATCGTCTAGACCAGTATTTCTCGAAGTGCAGGCTCAGCCTGTTACTGAAATGAGAAGCCAACTAACTTAATGGTTTAATGGAGTGTGACCAGCATTTTTTTTTTTTTTTGGAAAACTAGGAAGCATGAGAGTGCATGGCATGTTGTAATAGGTTTTGTTTCATGAATCTTCTGTTTCTTTGTGTTTGTGTGTGTTTTACTTATTTTGTTTGTTGTATGTTGTACCAGTATGTAAGGTCTTTGAGGCAATGGTTTGCGTTTCCTTCCCTCCTTTCCTTTTTGTTCACAAGTGTATTTTGCTTAGACTAATATTTGGCATATAGAAGGTGACCAGTACCTGCTTATTGAAGGAATGAATGAATGAGTATATATGACCTCTGGGTCATGATGGAAAGGGTATTTATTATTTTTTTTTTACTCTTGAGTCATGGCAAAAAGAAGTTGTGAAAGCCATTGCTCAGTAATAGAGATGATGGGGCATCTGGGTGGCTCAGTTGGTTAAGCGTCCAACTCTTGGTTTCAGCTCAGGTCATGCTCTCATGGTTGTGAGACTGAGCCCTGCGTCAGGCTCTGCACTCAGCATGGAATCTGCTTGAGATTCTCTCTCTCCCTCTCTAAAAAAATATATATAAGTAAAATAATAATAATAATAATACAGATGACAGTGCTTTGTATGATTCTGAAAATAAAACTGAAATGACTCAGTAATTCCAAAGAGAGATTTTGTTTCCCCTGAGCAATCTGTAAAATGTCTCATTAAGTTGTCTCAGTTCTTTCCTTCACTTTGGCAGCAGAAGCTTAGCCTTTGTATGAGTTGAAGGCCCACTGGGGCAAGGCTTTTGGCAAATACGGTCACACTGAGAATAGAAGATCAGCCTAGAGAGCGTCAGGTCACTGGGGCGGTGCCACAGCACTGCGGGTGTCCCGCCAGCCAGCACGAGTCCCAGCAGAACACCAGCTCAGCCGGTGCTTACGGAATGCTGTTCTCCTTCCCCTCTGTATGCACAGCGGACACAACAGTTTTAAAATGAGCAAATACAGCACGAGGAGGAGGAGGAGGAGAACTTCATTGTCCTCAGCCTGAGAATCTAGAGCGGGTGGGACAAGCCCACTAGAAGCTAACACTGGTTGCCCCTTATTGGTGAGAGGATGGGCCTGGATAGACTAGTGAAGCCTACAACAGAAGAAGCATTTGAGGGGCACCTGGCTGGCTGTCGGTGGAGTGTATGATCTTCATCTCAGAGTCATGAGTGCAAGCCCCACACTGGGTGTACAGATTACTTAAATAGATCCTTATTTTAAAAAGAAGAAGCAGCATTTGAACTTGGCTTCTGAGAGAAGAGGATCTCAGCCAGGAGAGCTAGGACGACAGTGAAAGCCAAGGAGAAGGCTGCACAAAGAGCAGACGGGCCATCGTGCAGCACCAAAAGTCCAACTTGGCCGGACTTGGGTGGATAGATTTGGATAAATTTGTATACTGTGATAATCAGAAATGAGGCCAAAGGCGCCGAGATGCTCGTCTTTCCAGAGAAGCTAAGTCCGCTTCATCCAGCGACTAGCACGGGGCCCGGACCTGGCAGCACCACGGCCTCCGTCTCAGCGCTCGCCTGCCTCTGCTGGGCCCTCATCCTGCGCAACGATGAGCTGACAGTCCGAGGGCAAGATCGGTGCCCTCATTAAAGCAGCGGGGTTCGACGTTAAACCTTTCTGGCCCGGCTTGCTTGCAGAGGTCCTGGCCAATGTCTACATCGGGAGCCTCAGCTGCAGTGCAGGGGCTGAGGGACCCGCCTGGCAGCCGGTGCTGCGCCAGCAGGAGGCCCCGCACCCTCCACCCCTGCTGCCCAGCTGAGGAGAAGAAAGTGGAAGCAAGAATCCGAGGAGTCTGCTGATGACGTGGGCTTTGATCTTTTTGACTAAACCTCTTCTGTAACCTGTTTGATAAAAGGCTGAACCCCCTTTTTTTAGGATATATTTTTAAAATTCATTCAAGTAATCTCTATATATGCCCAACGTGGGGCTCATTTGGTTTGGTTTTTGGTTTTAAGGTGGGGGGAACATGCCGATCCGGGTAATTTTTGGCACAGCCAGTGTCCAGCACTTGGCATTTTACAGACCGCAGGAATGGGTTCAGGATTGGACATGTTAACCAAATTCAACCCAAATGAGACTCCAGGAGAGATTTGCTGGGCTTATGGCAAAGACATGTTCTCACCTTTGAGAATGCTAACAAAAGGGAGTCTTTCTCTCTAGATGTGTAAAAGGAAATACCAATGTTTATATTTATATATAATTTATATTTACATAGTGACTGGGAGATGGAACCAGTCTTAGAATTTAAGCCACTACCATAAAAGGGTCAGCAGAGAAATATAAAGAAACTGGGTCCTTGATGACATCACTGGGTTGCTGAGTCAAACAATCCCTAAAATATGCTACCTTTCTCTGGAATTTCCAGGTATGGGAGGTAATCTTTATTTTTGCTTAAGCCAATTTAAAGTCAGTTTTCTGTTACTTGCCACCTAAGTTCTCCGATATGAGGTGCACTGACTTGGTGGCTCAGTGTTAGCCGCACACCGCACAGCTAGGCAATGGGGAAGCAGAACGCAAACCTGAGTCTCTCCTCATGCCCACACAGCGCCGCCTCTGCTACCTTATGCCCATCTTCGTCATCACCAAAGCGAGTGGCCCATGCGTTCCCTCCCTTGCAGTTCAGTCCCCTGCCCTGCACCTGCTGACCTATACCCTCCCAAGCCATGTCCC